TCCAGCAATAGCTGTGTACTTATGCCCCCGCTAGCCACCAGTACTTATGTTTCTAGAGTGACGTCGAGCGCTAAGCCAAGTAGAAGCCGATGCGTTTATAGTGCAAACCTTACATGCTTATCTTCGCCCTAAAAACTGGTTCGAGAACGACTTTATCGCAGAAGGCTACAGCTTGCTTGCAGGACTCTGGAATTGCAGAAATCATCCGACTACCGCTGAGATGTGTTCATGTGGCATGACTCAGCTGGCATGGAATTCGGACTCTCTAAATGAAAACCCCACGATCTCACCTGAGACAGGAGTTTTCCCGGGACCATTTTTATTGCACTCGGCTATCTGTTTCTCACACTTCACAAAGCCCGCAGCCATCTCATCAAGTCTGAGTAGAAGTACAACATCGATTGAGTAACAATGAGGAAGCATTTCAACTCAGCCTTAGGTAGCAGTTTTCGATCCGTCGCCATCTTTAAGCACCCTTGGTAACTGAGACGACCCTCACCAAACACGCCTGTAGGCACGAAAAGCCCACACAGCCTGTGGTGCCACTACTCCAGAAATTATCATTAATCCCACTAAATCGACTTTGTTTGACGTAGACTTGATTATTCGCGATCCCAGTTCAGCCATCATCGAGGCTGAATGAAGTAGAATACTCTCGAAGACAATGGTATGACCGTCCCGGCCTAGGTGACCTCACTCGATGCCGAGAGGCCGACCAGATGTACGTTGTGGTTGAGATCTTGATGTTGTTTGAAGAATTCGTTGACGAACTCCTCGCTGAATGAGCAAATAGGCTGTATCGGATTGTCGTCGGCAAGCAGCTCACAAGCTCTGCATCAAATTATCCCATCCACTCTCCACAGCTCCTATGCTGAACCCCGCAGGTACCGGTGTATCGATCCAGATACCATTAGCTTTTCTCGTCCAGGAGAACCTGAGAATGTAGAAACTTTGGATCCCATCGATCCATTGGCAACGGGCAATTCCCATTGACTCACGTGTTCGTGACCAGGCGATTGGAAGTCGGAGACATAAGGCATGGCCCATTCATCTCCAGCGTATATGTCATGCTGCTTAAACCGGGGCCACCGTTAATGAATAAGAAAGTGGGCGCCGTCGTAGGGTTCCCATCGGCCTGTATGGAAGCGTAGAATAACCTGCGGCAGAAGTAGTAAGCCAACACAGCACAGCCACTCGTGGCCAAATCTACTAACCTTCCGAGTGGACTGACTTGTATATATCCATACTCCTGTTCACCAGTGCCGGTGGGACACAGGACTTTACCAGTCTTAGAAAGTCCACGTGGGGGGGCGTGAGGCACTTCCCGCACCAACGAGAGCTACGATGAATGATAGGATGAAGAACATAGTCAATACTTCTGAGCTACTATTGTACATGAAAATTCACATTCTCATATTCCTTCGGCAGACTCAGACTGCATGTCCCCATCTTCTAATTATTGGAGTTCCATCTGTGATATGAAAACACTAGTAGAATTTTTCCACTGCAGAGAAAACTAGAACAGGCGCAAAGTTATAGATATACTTCCCCAGGGAAAGTTAGTATTTTTTACCGCTTTCGAATTCTCACCAACTACGAAGAGACGGGCCCAAAACTTGGAGGTCAAATCAGTGAAGTGTAAGAGCATACCCCCTGAGCCGCAGATGGTACCTGTTGGAGTGACTGTGCACGAGTCGAAAAA